TTTATTTTGTAAAAAGTACCTACAGTAAATTACATTTGGTGGTACGGATCGTGCTTGCGGTATGGATCAGGTAGTGACAATGTGGTGACATTCATGGCTTTCTTTCAGCACTTACCTTTTCCTCCATTGAGGCCATATTTTGTGAATAGCATGACCAACATCTTTCCTATCAAGATATTCTCCCTTTGTCTGATTTGTTATCTGCAGCCACAGTTTTACCTGGACTATCTTAGCTTTTCAAATTAAGAGAATGTCTTGGTAGGTTTTACAGTGACTGTTGATCAGTTACATGAAATAAAAAAAAAATAAAAACAACATGAAAATAAAACGTTATTACTTGGTTATAGTGTACAGTACTACATTTTAAGAGAGCTGAATCCTTTTTAAGCTGTATGAGGTCCTTGAACCATTAGAACAAGAGCTATGGAGAAATGATTATTCAGCTGAAAGCGTTAAAATCTTTATATGCTGTTTTAAAAAGGCTCAGCGTCATAAAGTGGGGGTAAAACAAAGAACTTTTAGCAGGAGCAATGAATCCAGATATTTTTTTTTTCTCATTATGAACTACAGGATATGTTTAAGTATTTTTTTTTTTTATGTGGAATAGATGTTTAAACTGGTAACTTTCTGACCTTTATATTAGCTGAAGCTGTGTCGGACTGATGGGACAAAATCAGTTTCATGATGGGAAACTTTCTGAACAAACTGACCCTAAACTAAGAACCAGTCACGACTTAAAGATGTAGAAATACGTTCCACAAACAGGACATGTTTTGGTGACATTGTCCCTTTGAACTGATTAAATCATGGGGGGAGGCACATCAGGTGACTGACTGGCTGTTTGGCCTCATTCTCGTCTCCGTTTGCTGCCAAACACCTTGTCCAGATGTTCCGACTGTTTGTTATGTCAGTGGGTTCCCACGTGGACAAAACGTCATTGCATCGACGCTGAATAAAAAACAACAGTCATGTGATCAATACGAGGAGGTCATTAATGTTCTCAGAAAGTAGATTAAACTGTTTGTGCAGCCTGGCTGTCACTGATCAATGCCTGAAGTTATAATAGGTCATAGTCCTGAAAAGTAAAATAACCAGTCAGAGGTTTTTCAGCTGAATGTATTCATTTCAAATATATAGAGGAAGATAATCATAATATATAATTAAAAAAAAAGAGCTTTGACAGAAGTGGTCCTCCTTTGACAGAAGTTTAATATACCAGCCCAGGTGTAGAAACAATTTGTATTTAAATGTCAGTTAAAGAAAAATCCAACATTTAAGTGATGCCAGTGCAGAGAAAATTGTGAAAAGTTATTCATATGAATACATGGAGGCAAAGAACTGTGTGTAATTCTTTGAGTTTCCACCATTAGTCAGTTTATGAGCCGGATTTTGCTTTAAAGCATATCATGATTCTGCTGCACAGACAAAATATGTGCAATAAGCAACAGGTGACTCTCACCCTGTGATGTTGATTATGCTAGAATGCATTTGATAGTTTTATGAGGGGTTCTTAAGACCATTTAGTGCGGAGCTAAGTGTAAAGGATACTGCTGTGACAGCTTATAAAAGTTTGTGTGATACTTGTTTTTTTTGTTCTGTTTGGATCTCCACGTCACTTCACAGACCTAATGATTTAAAGAGGTATTCCTCAACAGCAGAGTCAATAGCATGGACTTTCCAACAGTATTCCCTCGAAAACAGGAATTTAATTTTACTATTTCATTTTTTTATATGTATTTAAGTTCGCTTTGGGATTAATAAAGTATTTTTGAACTGAATTGAAATAACGCTATGTAAAAAATAAATAAAATCAACATTTATAAATAAAACCTATGGCAACTATGTAACAAGAAAATTAAGAATAAACGGATCTGTTGATCTTCAAAGATCAGGTTATCGCGAAAAGAAAAACCATATTGCAGGGGTAGGGCACCGCCATTTTTACAATTGTGTCCTCAGCAAGTCTTTCCCGAAATCTGTCCAGACAGGGTTTATTAAAGTCACATACCGGTATATGAATTTAGAATCCAGGGTTGTGTCCTTTGAAGGTCAGATTCCTTGGCCGATTACGTCATAGCGTGGCGCTGAGACCTGTTTGGTTTGGAAGACTCCTCGTTATGCGGCCTGTCACTACTTGATGTGTAACGGAAGCACGGTGCATACTATTTGTTCATTTTTACATGTGCAAGCAGATTCTTCCAAGTTGCCATAATAATGTAATCATGGTATTAAAATTACTTATTTCTAACCTTAAATCACAAGGATTTAAGAATCCTAATACAAATCTTAAAAACATTTTTTCTAAGACAATTCGATGCTTTACAAACAAAACAAACCCTGATAAACCCATGTCAAATCCGGTCAGGAGGAACAAGCAAACATCTTTCCCATCAATAAAGGGACAAATCATGTTCTTTTGAAAGAAAGTGGAGGATATTCCAGCTAAAATAGACTGAATAGTGTAATGTACAGAAAGTACCATTGGCCCAGCCATTTTTTGTTTACTGCATTTCATTGGTTGAAGCTAATGCATCAGTTGGCTTCTGGCAAGATATTTTCCTGAGAGTTTATGTATCAACAAATCTGCTTGCATCTTGCTTTCTTGCACAGTAACTTGGGCCTAGTTTTACTGTAAAAGTTCTGAATTTAATACTTTTTTGCATTTGATAGAACTGTTTTTTGCAAACATACTTAGACGATCACTAAGCCAAAAGTATCCCTACAAACAGCAGTCAGGGGTCATTTATTAAAAAGATTTATTAACTTGGAGTAAAATCTAAATCAGTATGTATTGTAAAAATGGTGGCAACTTTCTTCTGCAGAAGTGTGCCTCAGGGGAAAAAGGTACCTCATTAAATGTATCCATATCTACAGCTAAGGCCCCTGTCATACCATGAAGATTTAGAAAGCCTATGCCTGACGTACAAAAAACGTTGGCAGACATTGGAAAAGTTATGGGTCAGCTTTGTATAAATTATGAACACATTGAAGCATGCTGAAATATATTGGCACACGTCACCGTACGGTAAGCACGTTGAGAAATTTTGAGCATGCTCAAAAATTTTCCAACGCATGCCAGCATATGCTAATACGTGGGCCATAAGTTTAGAAGGTTCCAGGACGTCAGGCATACGTTGTTTAAATCGCCATGGTGTGAAAGGGGCCTAAAGCAGTGAAAATAACCCAAAAAAAGAATAAAGGTTTGCCTTGCTACCACACAGTGAGGCGTCACATAAGGCAAGATAACATTTCCGTAGCAAGACTAGCCCTTAGATTCCCTTGAGCTACAGAATACAATATAAAATGAGAAGCGAAAACCTAATAAGTTGTGTGACCAAAGTGTTTTTGTTGCAGGTTTTCTTCAGAGGAGCTTCCGTGAACGCCATCCGAGGCTTCCCAATGAGTGCCACTATGTTCCTGATGTATGAACTCTCTCTGCAGTTCTTCAGAGGTCTTTAGGGCTGCAGGGAAATCTGAAACACTTTGCATAAAGGGAGCTCACAGCTAACTGTTACCAGTTTGCTTGAGATGAAAGATTGTGAGCACTTTATAGTAGCTTTGAGCCAGCTGCTTTTAGTCAAATGTTTTAGGTCTGACCCCTTTTATCACAGTTAGGTTACTTGAAATATGATGTTTTATTTATGTTTAATAATGCATATCTGATTATTTAGATCACCAAAGTAAAACATTTTGCTAACCAGAGTCCTGCTTTGACACAAAGGTGTTTGACATTGCAGAGGTTTGATACTACAGGTGTTATATAAGAGTTTCTGAAAGTGTCACTGAAGGTTCTTTTATGAGTTTTGTTAAAGGTTTTTAAATAGACTTGTAAACAATCTATTATTAATTGTTTTAAATGTTAATTATGATTAATAGAACAATGATGTATGCATGTAAAAACAAAACAATAGGAAAATTGCAGTAAGAATTGATGCCCAACTTGGTAAATTGAGGGAAATAAAATACAGATAGGAGGCTTAGTTAGCCAGGAGATCTGCAAGGGAGAGTTTATTATAATGATGATGTATAAACTGAAGTTAGTACAAGGTTGAAGGAGCCTGCTGAAGAAGACCAAAATATCTTCATATTTGTAATCACAGCGAATGCATACTACTTTTGAAATTGTTTGATTGTCCTCCAAATTATCAAAACATTTCTAAAAGAAAGAAACCATTTCCCAGACTTCCTGTGAAGCTTTTAAAGTTTAAGTTCAGTCTATAGATGTTTTTTATACTTTTTTTTTTTCCAGTTTTCATACATATTTTATCCCTTTTTTTATTCCAACCTTCAAATCATCAAAGTCAAAATGACTCCTTATTCGGATGGATGGTTGGTTGTAGATGACCATCAGGTACTGGAGAACCACTTGAAATGACTGATGGAAAGTCTGATTGGAAGGAAGGTTCAACACTTTTGCACAAATCTGAAATATTAACAATAGAGAGCAAGAAGAAGTTTAAAATGTTCTACAGGAACAGATTTATGTGACGCTTTTATGCAAGAAAATCTATATTGTTAACGTTGCAGTATATCTCAAATGATTTAATGAGTTCCACATGTCTGTGAAACGTTTCCAATATTCGAAGCACATTAGCACTGGGACACTGTTATAGTAGAGTTATGTTATTGTTTTAAGACTTAACTGCCAACAAATCGTTTTAAGCTAAATAAGGAATTAAGGCTTGTTTTTTAATTCTAGTTCTTTAAGGGCCGTTTTACTAACTTAACACTGTCCTTACACTAAATGAAAAGAAACTGAGAGGATAAAGATGATATATTTAGTGTCAGCAATCTTTTGATAAATGTGCTTTTATTTAATTATTTTACCAAAAAAAAAAAAACTAATTTGTGTTTGTGTTCCTTCTGGGATGTTAAAAGTCCCTGTGTCTGGTATGGTTCGGTCCTGCAGCCGAATCCGGCCTGAGTTTGCACATTTACATTTTTTTTAATTGATTCTGTGTGTTCCTATCTGTGAGGAAAAATACAAGCACATAATCGTTTTTATCCCACAGTGTCACACAGTATTTATTTGATGATCTGTTCAACAAAGAAAAAAAATTAGAAAATGCAATTGCCGCCTACAAAGTTTGCTTATGAATTTAAACTGACTAATTGGTTTTCCTTTAAATGCTATTTAGCAAAATAGGAGAGGTGCATTTTTAAGTCACTTTAATAAAGAATTAAAATATTTTTATGAAGGGTGTGAGATTTTTTAACACAAATATAATACCAATATGGTGACACGTTCTGCTTCTACATGTATTCATGTTTCTTATATTAAGGGATTCTGAGTTTTTTTTTTTTATTTGAACTTTTATACTATATTTTCAGATGCAAATGAGCCACGTTAGCACAGTTCTGTTATTGTTTTAAGTTTGCTTTTACTTTCCAGCTAATCTCATAACACTTAGGTGCTAAATCAACACTAGAATAACAACAGGGAATTTAAATGGAAATAATATTTTTTGTATCTTTATGTAAATATGTATAAATATGTTTAACTTCCTTGAAAAGCCAAAAGTGTCTTATTGTACTTAAATAAATCTTCATTAAAACCTTATTGGCCCTGTTTCATTTCTGAATTTGTTTAATTGAATGTGAGTCATGTGGCTCAGTTTTAAATGTCACATTTAATTTTGAGGTGAAAACGTATTGGCTAAAATGTTATTGTTTGTTTTAGTGATGGAAAAGATCATTAGTTTTGTAACCAAAGCTGCTTAAGTTTCCACATTTAGCAGAAAATATTCAGATTTTTAGTTGGACTCTTAACCGTCTACTTGAAAGTGATTGAAAAGACAAGGAATTGAATGTGCTGGGGGTTTTTTCTTGCTACAGTATCATTAATGATCTGTATACAGATCAAACTTTTATTGGTTATTTATCAGTCTTCTTCCTTACATTTAAAACAGTCCCAGGTGGGACTTTTTTAACTGGAATGAGCAAATGTCCATTAAACCGATGCAAGGAAATAAATATTTGAAAGGGGCTATACTTCAGTGCAATTAGTTAAATCTGTGCCAATTATGTTGTGATCATTCTGGGTATTTATTAGCTAAAGCATGTATATTTAAGATCTAAAGTTTTCACTTATGAATATTTATTCTCTTTTCCCCATTTCTTATTGATTTTATCAACCTGTGGTGCAGGATTTTACGTTTTAACACCCAAACAAGAAGGACGAGATGGTCGATTGTTTTTACCCACAGGGAGAGACCCAGCAGAGATGTGGGGAGTAAGTTGCAGCTCGATACAGTGATACAAATACATTTCTGCATGCAGGCAGTGACCTTGAGTTACACACATGAAAAACATTCAGTTCCTAGAACCTGCAAAGGAATACTTTCCTCAGTGTCTCATAAAGATAAGAGGAAGAATAATCAATGTTAATACAGGACAAGATGAAATAGTTTCAACATAGGGTTGTTAGTTTAGACTGCAGCTGACGGGGACCCAGACAAAGATCAATCTTGGTCAGAAAATCATTGATTTCACGTTTTGTTTTCTCTTTACTGGAACACAAAGTCCACCAGAGGGCAGCATACACAACACTGCTATTTCATCTGCTCTCATGATGATGCACAATGCAACAAAGAATCTAAACCTGTTTTTTTTTAACCTGACAATAAATTTGTCCTTTAGAAAATGTCAGTCTAATAGAAAAGTCCAAAATTTTTGGTAAATGAACGATTAAAACAAACGGTAACATTCTAAAGAGGAGAGTTTATCAGGTTACACTGGCTAAAAAAGCTTACAGATAAATTTGGGCAGAAAGGATGAGGATTGGATGGTGGCAAAATTTGTAGGACTACTACTAAAAATATATATATTTATTATTATTTATTTATTTATTAAGAACTTTTGCTACCCTATAATAAATCGTGTAATCACAGGATACATTACAAATTATTATTTTAGCAAATTATATCTACATATATAGATATATATTAGTAGTTATTTAGTTAATTTTATTTTAGTTAATTTTAAAATGTGCAATTTTTTTCAGTTCAAAACATTTAATGAGGAATGTTTATTGACAAAAAAGTAAATATTTCAGATCAGTCTTCGAAAAATATTATTTATAGATTTTAGACTTAAGACAGATTTTATTTGTCATTTTGTTTACACAAGTGTAAAACAAAACCAAATTTCTTTGGAAACAGCTCACTGGACAATTTCATCTTTTAAAAAAGCAGCCTTGAAAAATAGTAAAAATGACTGTGAATTTACAGTTCTAACAATTTTTGTAACCCCAAAATAACCTGTTAGGATTCCACTTAAAATTTGTTGTAAAAAAGCAATAAGTTGTAAAATCTCACCCTTTTCGTTGGAGGGAAGAAGCCGTCCCATTCATGTTTATACTCCCCATGTACAATCCAGGCACCTTCCACAGCTGTTTAAGACTAGGTTTAAAACGTTACCATTTTTGATAAAGCTTATAGTTAGATTGGCTTAAGTTATCCTTTCCAATCTGTGTGATTCGACTGAGTTGTCTTTGTGCCT